GCAAAACATAATTTAGCCGAAGCTAACTGGTTCACTATTGGTTTTGAATGTTTGTGGAAAAAGCTAATATGCCAAACAAAAAAGGAGTTCGGCTAGCTTTTAGCGAATTTAAAAATATAATTTAGTGGAAGCTAATGGGTCCGCTAACAGTTTGTTAAAAGGCTAATACGCTTAACAAAAAGGTAGTTCTGCTATTAGTAATTAGTGGGTTTAAAGCTTGCAAAACATAATTTAGTTGAAGCTAACTGGTCCACTATTGGTTTGCAACATTTGGGGAAAAGCTAAAATGCTAAACAAAAAAGTAGTTCTGCTATTAGCAGTTAGCAGATTTAAAGTTGGTGAAACATAATTTAGCAGAAGCTAACTTGTCTGCTAACAGTTTTCAACATTTATGAAAAAGCTAATGCGCTAAACAAAAAAGTAGTACCGCTATTAGCTTTTAGTCTATTTCTAGTTGGCAAAACATAATTTAAAAGAAGCTAACTGGTACGCTAATGATTTGCAATATTAGTGAATGAGCTAAAWTGCTAAACAAAAAACTAGATATGCTATTAGCWGTTAGCTGATTAGCATAAYCATGCCCAACTCTGYTTTCTGAGAGTCCATCCAGTACACACAGACAWGGGCAAAACAATATCACCTCTTTTGCCTTTATTTATAATGAAACAAGCTTCATTTTGATTAATTTTGATGTTTAATGCTACCTGAAAGACACTGTGCRTAAGCTGTGGTGATCCCATACGGCCTGGTTCGTTTCTGAGGGTGGAACTCGTCCGACTCTTGTCCAGTGAAGCGGTCCACCACGACCACGGAATCCCTGTTGGAACACAAACCAGCGCGAAAGTTCAGAAACATTTCGTAGAAGAGTCTGGTCCGTTTTTGGAAAGTGTGCTCCTTTTCCCCCTCCTCGACACAATCTCTCAACCTTTTCTTGTAAGTTCCCGCTSAGATCACAGTGAGGCCCGGGGCAGGTCACTCACAGATGCCTCGGCTGGAAAATTGCAAGCAGCTGTCAGTTTTCAGGATTCTTTCTCGCTCCCATGTTCACACACTCACCCAACCCCCGCTCTTCTTCAGAGGAAACACAGAGCTCAACAGTTTCAGGCTGCGAGCCCAGGATTGAAGCGTGACCCCTGAGCCACCCTGTCCGGACTCCACTGGTCCAGATATGAACTCTTAACTCTCCACAGCAGGCTGAAACTGAATCATTAAATGTAAAAAAAATGAATAAAGMAAGTTTCAGACCTCTGCCAGTCGGTGTAGTACACGTTCCTCCCAATTGACGTGATACCAAACGGGTACCGGATCCCCTCCAAAACCGTGCTGCGGTCTCCCCGACCAGGATTCACACACTCCAGTTTGTGGGTACCTGCAGGTGAAAGATCTCGCTCAGGGCTAATCTCAAAGCAGACACCTTGGATTAGTCATCTGTCTGGGATTTACCAGCATCTGCCCAGCACAGCAGAAAACTCTGATGGTCGTAAGTCAGCCCGTTTGGCAGACCGAGGTTGTCCTTAACCAGAACTCTTCGGTTGGTTCCGTCCATGTAAGAGGTTTCTATCTTGGGGGCGTCGCGGTTCCAGTCGGCCCAGTACAGATTACTGGTGGAAAGACACGATCGGTGTCAGTTTACAATAAATCAAGTCACAGCTTTGATGATATTTATAAATTAGCACCAGTTTCCCACACTTGAACATCTCTGTGGTTAAAAATTCGATAAACATAAAAAAAATKACCAAAGTTAACCTTTTCCAAACTGCATCAATTGAAAGAGACAGTCTCGACTTGTGGTGTGTGGTTAGACTGAAGAACTGCTGGCTCCTCCCTCCACCTCACGCATACTTGGCAACTCAGCCCTGTGACTACCTCCCTCGCTGACTCAGTGGTTTGATGTAGTTCTAGACAACCTTTTTCACATTGGAATTTACCGTTGGCGACACATACCTTTAGCTTCACTTGCACTGCTGGCTCCTCCCTCAACCTCACGCATACTTGACGACTCAGCCCTGTGACTACCTGCCTCGCTAACTCAGAGACGTAACAAGATTYGATCAACTTACTTCTAGTTGTTTTGTTATAGTTCAAACAACCTTTTTTACATAGGATTTTACCGTTGGCGACGAGTATGTTTAGCTTCACTTGCACTGCTGGCTCCTCCCTCTATCTCACACATACTTGACGACTCAGGCCTGTGACTACCTCTTTTATTTCTAAGCTCTACAAATACATTGTGAAGTCAATAAAAACATCATCTAAAGTTTTTTGTTTTTTTTTTACCCGTTTTCAGGATCAGCGATGATAGCTCGAGGGTTCACAAGATCGGTGTCTATAAGGATTCTGCGCTGAGACCCGTCCAGAGACGCCACCTCGATCCGATCCCTCATGGAGTCGGTCCAGAACATGGTTCGGCTCAAGTGGTCGATGGCGATACCCTCTGGGCTTTCCAAATCTGTCAGGGCGGGGCGACAAACACATTTCAAGGTTTTAGTTTTTAAAAAAAAGAGGTAGTCACAGGGCTGAGTGGACGAGTATGTGTGAGGTAAGAAGAGTTAAGTGAAACTACCGGTTCTGATGACAGGCGTGGGCTCCCCGCTGTCGGCGCTGGCCTTGCTGATCGAAGGAGATGTTATTTCTGTCCAATAAATCATTTTTTCTACACAATCGTAGGCGACTCCAATAATAACTTTACCCTGTAGAGAGAAATAGAGAAATAGAAAGAAATAGAAACAGAAAGAGATAATTTCTCAGACAAAACTTGGAGCAGATGTGTGTTTTTCTCGTCTAGACTTAAATGTAAACTAACTGTGAGTAAGCCCAGCGGTGCAGCCGGACTTCAAGACAGCTGGTTTAGAAATCAGTGTAAAGACATCAACAACAACACAAAACAGATGGCCATTCCAGAGTGAACCCATGTTATTCATTAGTGGGAATACCACAATGCGTTTCCAATAAAGTGCGAGCCTTTAATGCACGGAGCAGCTGGGAATCTGACAGGAAAGAAGCGAGTTTTGGTGCCGAGAAGAGAACAAACTGCAGCTACAGCCTGAGCAAATCTTACGACGGGTCTCGTTTTTCTTGTTTAAGGTGCAAAAATGTGATTTCCTGTGTGTTTTTGTCTGACTTTTATTAAAATATCTCTTGAAGCACTGGATGGGTTTTAATGAATCCCTCAAGATGATTYAAGATGGCCACCGCAGTTTTATCAGATTTCTTTTTATAAACACAATCCTTCCAGAAAAAAAAGTAACTTACAGGGAGATGAAGGATGGGTTTGGCGTCATGCTTTCTCATTTCGTAACCCTCCAATGGGATGTGTTCGATTCTGCCACTCTGAGCGAACARCAGGTGCGTCCCGGGGGGGAGCGTGACGTCGGGTCGAGGCCGGGGTCCAACAGGTGTGGGTTCAATGTTGTGGTCGACACCTAATACAGATTTTAAAAACATTAAAATGAAACACTGCAATGCCCTCCTGGAACTTTAGCAGCGTTTCTCCCTTATCGTTTCCTCACACATGGGTCGGCTGCCGGGAGCAGAGCGGGTCCCGTCGATCTCCAGTCCATTTCGGTCCACGCACCAGCAATACCCGGTGCTGCTGTGGCACTGGGTGGGCACGTAATCACCGTTCACGTCACACTCCGGGATGTACTGGCCGACAGGGGGTCGGGGGCCCCGCAGTGCACCGAACCCCGCCCCACCGAGAAGACTGTCCCTGTGGGTCTCGCATCGAGTCTTTGTCCTCTCTGAAAGAAGAGGGACAAAAAAAATTTTAAAAAGACAACGGTGAAATTAGCAAAWTAATAGCTAAATATTAAAAKTGCTGAAAACTAAAAGCAGCAGAATGSTAGCTAAACAAGCTATGAATGCTAACAACAAGCTAAAACAAGTAAAGACTGGCTAAAAGGTAAGTTAAATGTAGCAARAAGCTAACTAAATGTAAAATAGCAAGCACTAGCACAAACTAGCTAAGARCTAAAAGTAACAAAAGGCTGACTAAAAGCATAAAAGTTAGCTAAACAAAACAAAAGAAGCTGCTGAAAGCATCAAAAGGCCTGCTAATAGGTAAAGTAGCAAAAGGCTAGGCTAAAAGTAACAAACAGCTAGGCTAAACTAGCAAACGGCTGGATAAAAGTAACAAAAGACAAGGCTAAATGTAGCAAAAGCTTAGCTAAAAGTAGCAAAAGGCTAGGCTAAAAATAGCAAAACACTGACTAAAAGTAACAAAAGGCTACGCTAAAAGTAGCAAAAGGCTAGGCTGAAAGCAACAAAAAGCTAGGCTAAAAGTGGCAAATGTTTGGCTAGAAGTAGCAAAACACTGACTAAAAGTAACAAAAGGCTATGCTAAAAGTAGCAAAAGGTTGTGCTAAAAGTAACTACAAGTTAGGCTAAAAGTAACTAAAAGTTAGGTTAAAAGTAGCAAAAAATTATGTTAAATGCAGCAAAAGACTGGCTAAAAGTAACAAAATGCAAAGCTAAAGTAACAAAAGGCTATGCTTAAAGTAGCAAAAGGTTGTGCTAAAAGTAACTACAAGTTAGGCTAAAAGTAACTAAAAGTTAGGTTAAAAGTAGCAAAAATCATGTTAAATGCAGCAAAAGACTTGCTAAATGTAACAAAATGCAAGGATAAAGTAGCAAAAAATGATCTAAAATCGTAAAGGTTAGCTTAACGTAACAATGACTAACTGAAAGTATCACAAAGCTAAAAGTAGCATAAAAAGACAGAACAAAGTATAACGAAGCAAAATTATTTTTGAAGGAATTGAAACAGTTTCTATGTATTACAACAGGAAATTATTTGTAAATAATRTTAAATATTCAGAAAAGAATAATAGTTACAAAAAYAACACGTACAGTATCTCCTGGATATGCTGAAATGTTTTGATAWAAAGACTAAAATGGCAAAAAATAAATAAAAATAATCTTTTACCAGAGCGAGAATCATTTGAACAACAGATAYGATTGTAAAGGTCTCACCTGAAGAGCAGTAGATACCGTTTCCACTGTAGCCCGGCTGGCACTGGCAGATAAACGAACCCTGTGTGTTGGTGCACACTGCGTTCTGGTGGCACCTGCCAGGCTGACACTCGTCAATATCTGAAGGCAACACATGAGAACGCTTTGACTTAAAGGATAAATGCTTTAAACCCTGTAAATCCCTAAGATTTAGGATGAAGACAGATGCAGTAATGATGCATTTAGTATGTCTCTTCGTACCTTGGCACGTTCTTCCGTCGCCCACAAATCCCTGCAGGCAGGAGCAGATGTAGGAGGAGCCTCCGGTGTAGCTGCACTGAGCGCGCTCAGAAACGTCACAGGTGTGGGTGCCTTCCTCGCAGTGGTCCACGGGTCGATCCACCTCTGCAAAAAGAAAGAGAGAAATTTATACTTTCATCCCGTYTTCCTCACTGTTGTTTTCCTATTAATACATTTTTTCTAATGTTTCTATTTTAGCCGTTCAGGTAAAGATATCAGCTTGTTCAGCACATTACAGCTATGACTTTTAAAMTTTTAGAACTATTTTTTGTTCAATATTATTTAATTTTTTAACCACAAGGCAAAGAGATCTCTTCAAAACAGGAAAAACCTCTGCTATGTGACATCTTCAGCTTATTTGATTCATTTTGAACTTTTAGCTACTGTTTTGCTTTTAGGTATAACTTTAAGTTTTGGATCATGTCCTCATAATTTTAGGCTTCATCTGCTGTTTACCTGATGTTAGCTTAAACAAATGTTTATAGTCTTGGCTTTTACTTAGTGTTTTGCAAATTTTAGCTAAAGTTTTGCTAATTGTTGTTTCTAACTACTGTTTTGCTCATTCAATAATTTAGCTACTGTTCTGATAGCTTCAGTATTTAGCTACTGCTGTATWCATTTTAGCTTTCAGCTACTGTTTTTATCTTTTAGCTTTTAGCTGTGGGTTGGGTAATGCTGGATTTTTGATGCTTTTAACAAAATGTTTTAATAAATTAAAATTTCTGAAACTTTTTTCTTGGTTTTAGTCTATAGCTACTGTTATGATCTCAGCTTTGAGTTACTGCTTCACAGAGTGAAGCTTTTAGCAATTGTTTTGTTGGTTTTAGGCCTTTAGCTACTGTAATACAGATTTTATGTTTTATCTATTGTGATATTTTTTGCTTACAGCTACTGCTACTTTTTTCATCTTCTTTTAGCTATTTTGATCATTTTAGTTTATTTTTAGATTTTTTTTTAGCCACTGTTTTGTAAGATTTAACTTTGAGCCACAGTTCAAAAAACTTATTCTATTTTCCTGGTTTTAGCATATAGCTATTTTTCTGCTGGTTTTAGCTTATAGCTACTGTTCTGCTGGTTTTAGCTTGTAGCTACTATTCTGCTGGTTTTAGCTTAAAGCTACTGTTCTGCTGGTTTTAGCTTAAAGCTACTGTTCTGCTGGTTTTAGCTTATAGCTACTGATTAGCTTATAGCTACTTTCTGCTGGTTTTAGCTTATAACTACTGTTCTGCTGGTTTTAGCTTATAGCTAGGCCTACTTTTCTGTTGGTTTTAGCATATAGCTTATGTTCTGCTGGTTTTAGCTTAAAGCTACTGTTCTGCTGGTTTTAGCTTATAGCTACTGTTCTGCTGGTTTTAGCTTGTAGCTACTGTTCTGCTGGTTTTAGCTTGTAGCTACTGTTCTGTTGGTTTTAGCTTATAGCTTCTGTTCTGCTGGTTTTAGCATATAGCTTCTGTTCTGCTGGTTTTAGCTTATAGCTACTGTTTAGCTTATAGCTACTGTTCTGCTGGTTTTAGCTTATAGCTATTGTTCTGCTGCTTTTAGCTTGTAGCTACTGTTCTGCTGGTTTTAGCTTATAGCTACTGTTCTGTTGGTTTTAGCTTATAGCTACTGTTCTGTTGGTTTTAGCTTATAGCTACTGTTCTGTTGGTTTTAGCTTTTAGCTACTGTTCTGTTGGTTTTAGCTTATAGCTACTGTTCTGTTGGTTTTAGCATATAGCTTCTGTTCTGTTGGTTTTAGCATAGCTTCTGTTCTGCTGGTTTTAGCATATAGCTACTGTTCTGCTGGTTTAAATGTAGTTTTTTGTGTTTTGTGTTTAACTTGTAACTTCTTTTTCAGCTAATTTTATCTTTAGTTGACATTGTTTCTGGTTGCATTTTCACATAAATGTTCATTTTTTCTTGTTTTACTTTTAGGCACAAATCATCTCACCGATGCAGGTCCGTCCATCGCTGCCGAACTGAAATCCTTCCTCACATTCGCAGCGGAAAGTCCCTGGCTGATTGTTGCAGATAGCATTAGATCCACAGATGTAAGGAGTCTCTCTACATTCATCAATGTCTGTCAAAGAAAAAAAAKAGATGGGTTATCGCAGGCTAATAACCCCACATTAGAGCAGATTTGTCTTCCGGAGTCTGGATTTGTAGAATCAGCTTCTTTAAATTTCAAAGAGAGACATTTGATAAGATGAACTAATTGTGTAAMAACAGGATCTGTCTGAAGGATTTCCTTCCTTTCTCTGTAAGTTCTTCCTGTTTGGTCTCTCGTGTCAGAGACGGCTGATGTAGAACATGGGTTGGTAACAAGAGATCACACAGATTGATCAAACTCAGCCTGGAAGCATGGGACTGCCTCTGAATGACATAAATGTGTCGTCCCACAGGAGGAAGACAAACTCTGAGTCTGGGTTCATTCAGAAGACAGTCATGGATCGTGCCATTTTACGGTTAAATCTTATCATAAGACTGGCACGTGAAATGGAGCAAAAGCTAGATAAAAGAAGGTAAATGCTATCTAGAAGATAAAATGTTAGCTGAAAGCTAACAGTAGCAAAACACTAGCTAAAAGTTGTAAAAGGTTAGCTAAGAGACATAGTGGCAAAGTGTAAAAATGTTAGTTTAGGCTGTGTCCAAAACGGCAGGACGTTCTGATCTTATGTGGTATAAAGAAAGCTCAAAAGCTAGCAAAAAGTAGATAAATGCTAGCCAGAGCCTAAAAGTAACAAAATGGTAACTAACAAATCATGTAAAAAAAAAATAGGGAACTAAAATTTTAAATGAACACAAATCTAGCTATAAAAAGTAAAAGTAGCAGAATCGTAGCTMGAGGCTAACAACAACAACAAAAGACTAGTTGAAAGATGTTAGTAGCAAAACACTGACTAAATGCTGTGAAAGGCTAGCCAAAATATAAAAGTAGCAAAAGTGTAGCTTAAAGTAGCAAAATGCTACCTAATAGGCTGACTTCAAATTAAAAGCAGCAAATTCAAGGTAAAACTAGGTAAATGCTATCTCATGGCCAAAAGTAGTTAAATACTAGCTAAAAGCTAAGACTAGCAAAGTGATGACTAAAACAACTTATGTAGAAAATAATTATCTAAAATCTAAAAGTAGCAACAAAAAAAATCTAGCTTAGAGTAGCAAAATTGTAGCTAGAAGTTAAAAACAACAAAATACTAGCTGGAAGCTAACAGTAGCAAAACACTAGCTAAAATCCATGAAATGCTAACTAYGAGACAAAAGTAGCAAAGTGGTAGCCAATAGCGTAATAGTAAAAAAGTTAGCTTAAAACTAAAACCAGCAAAAGCTAYCTAAAAGCARCTAAAAGCTAAAAGTAGTTAAATTCTAGCTAGAAGTCAAGATTAGCAAAATTATAACAAAAAAACAAACGTAAAAAAAGTTAGCTAAAATCTAAAAAAGCTAACTAAATGTAGCTAAATAGCTAGTAGAAATTAAAAACAACAAGAGTAGCTGAACGCCAACAATTTCAAAAGACTAGCTAAAATCCATAAAGTAACAATAGGGTAGTGTAAAGTMTCAAAAAGTTAGCTTAAAATTAAAAACAGCAACTGAACTAATGTAGAAAATAGCTAGCTGAAATCTAAAATTAGTAACAAATCATGGAAACGGTGCACCTTTACAGTTAAAGAGGGGTATTTCTTACCATAACACGTCCGGCCGTCACCGTTGAACCCAGCGGCGCACTGGCACGTGAAATGGATCCCATCACCGGGTCGGCACACAGCGTTGGTGTCACAGCCGTGTCTTCCAGTGAAACACGGGTTCTCCTCCGGCTGACCGCCTAAGAAATTACAGCGTGAGACAAAGACTCAGGAAAGAAACCAACTCGGATCAAAACCAAAAAATACATTTTCCTCTTTCTCACCGTTGACGTCCCCGATCTTGTTGCTCATGGCGTACCGGAGGAGGTTATTACTAGAATCGTACAGGACGAAGACCTGGTCCACTTTGAGCATCTGGGTGGTCAGGTCTCTCAATGATTCGTCGTGCTGGCAGCTCTGGAAGGTGATGGTCTCACGGCACTGRTAGCTCCTGGTTTCAGTGGATCCATCGGGCGTATTCACATTATAGTTCCGGGTAGAGGATGAGGTGATCACTGCGAGGTAAAACCGTCAGATTAGTAACTTAAATCAGTTAGAGAGAAAAGACCCACAGCTGTGTCTTACAGTTGTTGTTGTATTGGTAGACGTCGGTGTAAGGATCGACCTGAACCGTGGAACCGAGAGGCATCTCAGGGACCCGGCCGTCGATGGTGGTGGTCACCACCAGGTGGTCCAGCTCGTCYGTGCCTTTAAACTCCTGCCTGATTGTCAGCCTCTCGTTCCCAGGGAAGAAGGTCACCTCAGCCTGGCGTGTGAACTCCCCCCCTACAGGAGGCGGCGTGGACAACCCGGTTAACGTTAGGACCCTCTCACAAATAACTAAATTCAAAGTTTTTTTCCTCACCGATGATACTGAAGCCATTCCTGAAGCCAGGYTGCTCCAAAGCAAACGTCCACCCAATCACACTGCTCAGGGCCAACAGAGGCAGCATGGAGGGCCCGACGGACTCGGGAATGCCACTGATGGCGACATACGATCGYCCATCATTAACCACGACGTACGAGTGGAGGTCGTTGCCATTGAACTCCAGTGGTGATGGGGAACGGCCTGCGTACAGCTTGCCGTGTAGTTTTCCGTTCATTCTTTGGGGTTTTCCTGAATAAATRAAAACATGTAGGGGAAATTAAATCTTTTTTCACATTCACAAACATCAAATTAATCCCATAGCATTTTTWAAATGATTGAGACATATTTCAGAAAACTGCATCTGGACAGAAGCTAAAAGATTTACTTAGCTTCTCCACATCAGCTACATGTTAAATATGAACCAGGGAAATTGCTATTTTGTGTGAAAAAAGCGCAGCATGAATGTTGAGTGCTGAAAGATGTTAAAGCTCAATCAGAACATTAGATAGATGTTAGAACAAAAGACTAGCTCAAAGCTAACATTGTCAAAACAGGTAGTAAAATGTTAGCTAAGAATTTAAAGTAGTAAAAGGACGGCTAAAAGAATAAAAAGCTAGCCAGCAGCTTAGGTTGTAAAAAGTTTACTTAAAACTAAAACCAGCACAAGATAGCTAAAAGTAGTTAAATGCTAGCYAGACGTTAGGAGTAGCAGAATGGTAACTAAAAATGAAATGYAGAAAATAGGTAACAGCAATGTAAAGTTATCTAAAGGCTATCTGAAAGCTAACACTAGCTAATGCCAAAAGATAAAAGTAGCACAAGGGTAACAAAGTATTAAAAATCTGCAAATAGTTTAAATGGGGAAATGTTAGCTTAAAACTAACAGCAGCAAAAGTTAGCTAAAAGTAGGCAAATGCTAGCTAGAAACTTAAAGTCATTAAATGCTTGCTAAAAGCTAACAGTAGCAAAATACGGTCTACAACCTACGAAAAGTTAAATAGATAAAAGTAGCAAAAGGTATCAAAAAGCTATCTAAAAGCTTAAGTGGTACAAAGATAACGTGTTAAATGCTAGCTAAAAAACTAAAAGTAGCAATAAAGTAGTTTAAATCTAAAAGAAACAAACTGGCTTTTAAAAATTTAAGAATACATAAAATTTTTTCAAAGAGAATAATGTTATTAAGAGAATAAATCTCAATGCATTTTTGGGGGGATAATATTTTTAAATCTTSTTTAATATTTTAAAACGTATAAATTAAAATGGCCCATCTCCAGAATGAGCAGAACGTTTTGACAAATGACCGGCTAAAACAGAACAAAGTCAGCAAAAGTAAGTAGATTAAAAATATGTATGGAAAAACACAAACAGGAATAAAATAATAAGAATGCTGAATCAGTATTTACACAATAATCACATTTGYATAATACGTGTCAGTATTCTGACTTACTCTCAACAAAAGTAGYTAAACAATTTGTTTTGAGTGATTACAGAGATTCTGTATTTAAAAACAAAACAGAAGAACCAGAACCGTACCCTCTGCCACACATTGTATTCCATTGCCATAGTAGCCCGGTCTGCAGTGGCAGCAGTATCCACTCGAATAGTCTCGGCAGTCTGCAAACTGGGAGCACTTGTTCCTGTTGTTTGCACATGTCCCGAGGTTGTATGAAAACACTGAAAATAAAARATAAACATTAAAAACATCATCAGAGCATATATTTGTTAAATAATTACAATTGTCCCATAAAATAATGTGATAAAATGCATTTTTGTGGCACAGAATAACATTTATAGTTCAGTTAAGCTATTTTTCTGTTAAAAATGGTGTACCACAGGGAGGTTTCTTCGGTCCATTGATGCTTAAGTATTATAATGGAGGTTTCCATGATAATTTCTTGGCTAATCACACAATTTTAAGTTTCACATRTCCTAACCCTATCCATGGCTCTTAATTATCATCAGTTTTCATTTAAAAGTTTTTAGAACTCCTTAATAAAGCAAAAAAAAAATCACTTACAATCAATTTTACAGATTCTGAGCTAAAATTTGGTGTGGTAGTATCTGGGAGTTATGCTCAACACATACTCTGAACAGTGATTAAGCAATGTCTTTACAACCTTGCCATTAACCATTGGAGTCAACTATATCAGCAAAATATCTCATGAACCACAGAGAAAGTTTAATAAAACTATGAGAAAATAATAGATGAATGCACATCTGCAACTGAGTACCTTTTAAAGCAAACCCACTTGTTACTCACYGGATTTACCAATGCTACCCAAACCTATGCTCCTTATTAGAATTAAATGGTTTAATTAAATAAAAAAATTCTAAAAGAACTCACCATCCACATTAATTTCTGAGTCTTCAATCACCACCACCTCTGGGTTCTGTGGTTGGTACTGGACCGAGTGGACCTGAACCTGTTCTGCATCTGGAACACTAAACCATTGTCCACTGGTCAGAATAGACTGCTGTGAGTCCAAATCCTGAAGTGAGGCCTCCGTGGGCAGGTCTGTTACCTCCCCGGGTTTCACCTGACTAAAATAGGGGTAGGTTCCGATCCTGTACACCCATACACCCCGCAGGCCAGAGTTGGTCTCCCTWTTGGAACACAAATGATACGTTTATTCGTAAAGTGCAAACGATAAGGAAATTATCATCTGYGCTGGAGGACACTCACTCTGCTAAAGACTTGAYGCTTGCCTCGTCATCAGTGGTGGTGCGGTAATATTCTCCCTGAGTGCTGTAGAAAAAACCCTTGTTCAAACCTTTGCTGAAGCCAGCATGCATGATCACGTTATCGTCTCCAACAGGGGTGGAGTAAAACTGGATTCCATTTCTTGTGTAGAGGACAATTGCATACGAAGCAGTCTCCAAGGAAGCAATAACCAGTTGGAAGGTGTTTCTCTAAGTGATAAAAGATACATAAATGACCAGCTCCAGTCTAGAAGAATTAAACAGCTGCATAGTCCTCACCTTCTTGTCGCTGCCTGAAGTGTGAGGGTCGTGACTGGCAACGTTAACCCAGGTGACCACCACGACGTTGGTGGGATTCACCTCGTCATCCCTGGGAAAGGCCCTGTTGATGTGCTCAGCCGCCCGACGCAGAACATCTGGACTGGAGTCTTGGCGAAAGAAAACCTCCCCTGCATCATCGCTCGTGTCCAGGTCTCCCTGCAGAGCCGCGATCATGCCAAACTCCGGGGGCATTTTACYGAGGTAGGCAGACTCGATCGCCGGCTCCTTTGTGGCAACAAAACCGTTGGTGTTGATCTGAAATTAAAAGAGCGGATTGGTCATTTGGAGATCAAAGGATGGAGACAATGGCAACGAGCATTTTCTGTCACGGAGGCAACAGATCCGGGAGAGAAACCAAGACATCCCTATCCTCAGAGACAGTTTCATCCTGGGGGACTCTGAGGCATTCCCAGGCCAAAGACGATACATATTCTCTCCAGTGAGTCCTGGGTCATCCCCGGGACCTCCTAACAGTGGGATCATGCCAAGAACACCTCTAAAGGGAAGCGTCCAGGAGGCATCCTGATCAGATGAACCACCTCAACTGACTCCCATCGATGAGGAGGAGCTGCGGCTTTACATCTGAGCTCCTCACCCAATCTCYAAGGCCATCCYATGAAGGAAGCTCATTTTGGCCACTTGTATTCAGAATCTTGTTCTTTCAGCCACGATCCAAACCTCATGACCCAAGGTGAGGATTGGAACATAGACACACCAGTAAATCGAGAGCTTTGCTTTTCAACACAACTCTTTCTTCACCATAACTGACCGAAGCAACACCCTTATTACTGAGGATGAGGTCCAAATCCATTGATCCAGCTCCAGCTCTATCCTACTGTCACTCACGGACAATTAAACTCCTCCACTGGATTGATACTCCCTCATGACCTAGAGGGGGTTCCACCCTTTTCTGGTTGAGAACCACAAAAACGTGTCTTCTTCTTAACTGATGCCACTTTTCAGACGTGTAATTTGATTTATCATACTGTACCCTTAAAATACAGCATATATAACCATTATTGCTAAAACTAAAGTGTGTGCTACAGAAAGCTTGTTAATTTATTTCTTCTGCTAAGCTACAGGAACAACTGAGTGCTGATTAGTCGGCCGATTAATCAGTCCAACAGCGTAAGAGACCTCTGTTTCATCCWGACCGGCCCTGATCTCTAATCCAAACTCATTAAACTAACGATCTACGTCAGCCGTCCTTCCACAGCACTAATGAACAAACGAGAAGCTCAGCTTTTCTTATCTTTTAGTGATTTTAAAAACACACAACAGAGTTCATGTCAAAAACATTCTGCTTTACATCCTAAAGCAAAAAAAAAAAAAGAACAAGGAAACTTCCACTTCCTGTCCTTGCCCCAGACGAAGAATCCCAGCGAGCCTTGCTTTCCTTCATTACAAACAATTAGCAGCTCTGATCTCACAGAGCAGACATGTTTGTAGATAAGCGTTTAAAGCTTGATAAATTCACTTCTTACAAACTTCTTTTTCTGTGTCTCTGCTCTGTAACCCCCTCCAGGCTGAGAGACAGTTCAGAACTCTCATAAATGAAAAACAGAACCGTTTCAGGCTCGGCTGCAGCTGGGAAATAAGTCTGAAGTGGGCCGATTGTTTTAATAAAGAGTTCAAGATTTAGATCCACCCCTCTGGCTTTTGCTTCAAAACATCCGCATCTGCTTCTTGACTGAGAAGAGTTTCTTTACGCAACATAAAAACTACAAAACTTAACAAAACTGAATATACATCTAAACTTTGTTCACTTTTGGAATTAACACAAGTCACAAAGGCAATTTAATCAAACACAAAAATGGCTAGAACTCAGCTTTTATGAAGCTCTCMGAAACAACAATCGGTTGTACGTCAACTGGCTTCGTTTTACAGTCTGCCTGATTCAAGATAAACCAACACAAACTGGTCATATCTCTGGGAATTTTATTGATATGAAGCAACAATTCAACCTTGTAATGTCCCGTTTAACCATTGAAGCAAAATTGCAGACAGACAAAAGAAACCAATAAATAAATAAAAATGAAATAAAACTAATAAAAATATTTTTAAAAGAAAGGCAAAAACAAAACTTTGACGTGGCCGCAAAAATACTTTGAGACCAACAAACTATGACTGACTGATCACATAAAACCAAGGATTAAATCCCAAAGTGGCRGTTAAATAATTGCATTTTGTCAAAATCTGATGAATAAAATACCTTATAGGGGTCCTTTACATAAAATATATGAACAAATTATAATTATGAGCTACAAAAAAACACGATTTTTAGAAGAAAATACTTGCATTTTTGCCTTCCCAGCTGGCAAATTTTAATATTTAAATATTGTTTGAGATTTCCTCTTTATACAACATCAACAATTTCTAATTATAATAGCCTAAAATAGGATTCAGACCAAATATCAATGAGTTATCCTGATTAGAAAGACAAATCAAGGCATATCTTTGCTACCATATCAGGGTGATCCAGGTGTCAAAATAAAAAGCAGGAATCTGAAAAAACGCTTTGATCATTTTTGACCACATTCACTTAATCCTCAGTTTGAAGTGATGGCTCACATTTAGGACTGAGGCAACTGGGAATGTAGAGACACCTGAGCTAAATTCTGACAGAGAACAGGTGAGAGTGGGTGTGGCAGGCTGACAGAGGAGGAGCTGAACTGAGGGAAAACAAAACTCTGGACAAGTCCACGATGGGGACTCATAAGACAATCACACAGTGGGACAGTGTTTTTTGGTTTGTGGGAGGAAACCCAGAGGAAACGTGCCTCTGAAGAGGTAGGTCAGGAGTTGAACCAGCAACCTTTTTCATGAGGCSACAGCTCCAACCACTGCACCACCCCGCTGCCCAAACCAAACCCACAGCTTCCAAAACACAAAACAAACCATAAACATAAAAAACGGACAAAAGCAGGGATACTGATGRTAGCTGAGAGTCATCCTCATCACACACTCCGAGCGCAGATCACGCGAGATTTGGTACGAGACTGTGAATAATGGTTTGTTTCAAGTCCGTCTTTTCTCAACAGAAGATGAAAGTTTAAATCTGTGGCGGGCGATACCTATTCCCTATTCCTTTTAGTTAATTACAAACTTGTAAAATCAGCATGAAAAACTCCCAGTCGGATCTGGATGTGGAAACTTCCTCCAAGGTTTCATGTTTGTTCGGACTCTGATCTTCAGTGCGCAATTACGCAAAATAAAATAAACAAACTTGTCAGAGAAGTTGAAAACCCCACGCGCTGGAATTTTGGATTTGGCGCAAAGCTACTCACGAAAACACTGTGGAAAGATCCGTCGTAAAACAGAACTGGCTTGTCGAGCAGCAGTTCGGAGGTCCGGTCATTCCCGGGCTCCAGGGTCCGGTCTCCTGCGCGCACGCCGAAAGGGAACAACTCGTCCCGCCCGATGCTCCGCGCCGAGCCCAAAAGTCCCAGAAAAGTGGCCAAGACGAGCCATCCTTGGTCCTGTCGACCCATTGTACGCCTTTCAGAGGCAGCGGAGAGGTCAGTCCTGCGCGAACGGGGGCGAGAAATGAGGGAGGCGGGGCGCAAAACGCCAAACTTGAAGGGGGAAAAAAGGGAGGTCTTGGACGAATTATTGGGCTTAAAAAGGTTTTAATTGATTTAATAAGTTTGGTGTCCGTTACCAGGATGTGCTGACATCAGCAGATATTTATTTGTAAATGGACACAAACACAAAGAAAGCAAAAACATTATTGCCCACCTTTGTCTTTTAGTGGCCCAGTACTGGCCCACACAATGCACCAACATTGTCCTGGATACTGCAAAGACTGACGGCCCAGAGGTGGTCCCTGCGTGGGCCAGAACCATGTAAAACAAACCAGACTAGTTGTGGCATTAATATATTTGGGCCAAGTCAACTAAACCACAACTGGGCCATTTGTAACATTGATAGATTTGGTCCAAATAAACCAAACCACATCTGGGCCAGGTGTTGCATTGACATATCTGGGCCATTTAAACCAAACCACAACTGGGCCAGTTGTAACATTGATAGATTTGGGCCAAATAATCCAAACCACATCTGGGCCAGTAGTGGCACTGACATATTTGGCCCACATAAACCAAACCACAACTGGGCCAGTTGTAACATTGATAGATTTGGGCCAAATAAACCAAACCACATCTGGGCCAGGAGTGACACTGACATATCTGGGGCACATAAACCAAACCACAACTGGGCCAGTTGTGGCATGCCATCTTAAAAACAGTGTCATCATTGCAAGATCTGGCCCACACCTGTCTTCTATGTGGGACAGTCATTGTTGGTATTTTTGTTAGTTTTAACTGGTATTTTGCGTTAGGAATGTTCTTTTAATCCAGCTTCTACCTGCTGTAGACAGCCTGCCACGCCCATTTTCACCTGCCCTCCCTTCACATCTGAAGCCACTCCCACCTGCCTCGTCGTGTTCCAGCCTGGCTTTAGATCCAGTCCATTACCTCTGCCTGTATCCAGAGTCACATCAGCATCGTTGGTCTCGTTCCACAGTCCCGGGTTTCCCTCGTGCTCCTTTTGTTCCTTGAGTTTCTCCTCGGAGTAACTTTGACTTCCACGTCAGCCTTTGCTTTCTTTTATTTTTATATAATAAATGCATTTTGGTGGCTCTCGTCTGCATTCTGGGTCCCTCTGACAATATACAGAGCACAAAAATAAGGAAATTTGTTTAGCTGATGATTATTTGCTGTAACAATCCGTCTCGGCAATAAACCTTACACTACAAAACCTGTTTTTAAATGGTGACACATTTGTTAGGAAAATGTGGATTGCCCTCATAAAAACTTACCATTTGATTTGTTTGGTGTTCATTGGATTGAATAATCAAAGTCTGAATAAACAAGACCGTTGACAGTGTAACAACTTRTCCATTTAACAAACAGGAGCTTCAGTAGCATGTGGAAGAACCATACACAGCCACAGCCTGAAGCATGGTCTCAAAGTATTTACTTACTGTTTGTCATCTCCTACAGATTCCAGGAGGAGGAAGTCGGGATTCTGGGAGTCCAGATCCGTTGAGGGAAGGTTCCCGGTAAGGAAACACAGGAGAGCAAAAGATTATTTGTAGAGTCAATATCTCACGAGTGTCAAAGATTGGTGGACGGACGAAGAATCGTAGAAACTGCCGGTCGGAGTGATCAGGTGTGAAAGAGGAAGGTACCGCCTCAGGCACGCCCCCTTCTCCTCACTCCTCCTGTAATTAAGGAAAAACAGGAATCCTGAACCAGCGTGGTAACGTTGGTCACTCTGCACCTCAAAATTCTGGAGGAATTATCTGGAAAAACTCCTCTCTTTGTGGGCGAAAGCTGTTGTCTTAGAAGTTAGGGTTCAATCCCGAACCGTGGAGGATATTGGACCGTCTCCGGTTGCTCGCAGGTGCCGACAGTCGGGCACCTGCAGAATCTCAAACGTCAACCACAGAATCGTCTCTTTGACGTTGTCAGAAAAGGTTTGACGAGATTTTCAGCTCATTTTTCCTACAAACATGGCGCCATTTCCAGAGAAATAAACAGGCCTTTCAACACCCTCAGGTTCATCTCCAACAAGCATCTATATAATTAACCAAACATAATACTTTGTTGTATTTATTTATGCAGCGTGGTACAACTGTTGATTTTGTGACTGCAAGTCTTTGCAGGACACTTCAAATCTCAAAAGCTCAACTATTTTCACAAATAAATACATATTTAACATGCATGAAGCCGATACAAACTTTAATACAATCACGACTTTACCTGAGAGGAAAACCAAAGTTGGGTTCTGGAGTTCTCTACCAGCTGTTTATTTTGTGATTTGGGAGTTTTTGCCACACGTTATTTTACACTAAAACAAGACGAGGATCTCTGCTGGTCGTATCTGTCATGTAGGAAACATTTTTGGAACGGTGGCTTCATGTCGGTCAGAGGTCGGAAAGGATAATTGAGCATAATGGGTACCAACTTTCATGTGGTTTAACAGCTACTCAGAGCTGGATGGATGACTGATCAGACTGTTTTCAGGACGAAGCCCCTCATTATCCAGCCGGAGAGGAGTTCGATGACCACAGTGGCACGACTCCAGGGCGTCCTCTCCGTAAGGTTTTCAGTCCACGCTCTGATGGTCCGCTGGCCTGGGTCCAAAGCTCCAGGACTTCTCGTACCTCCATGGTGGCCTCTGGAGCTCAGATCCGTTTTAATGTGCAAAAACATTCACACACATAATGAAAAGACTCATTAGTAAAATGTTATTTATCTACAGAATCAAGCATCAAATCTTCACTTTGTTGCAAGTTTCCTTTCTGAGAGATTATTGTCAGGGTTTTATTGAAGTTACTTGCTCAGGCTTTARCATAAATAAGCAAGAAAGTCATTCTTTCTGCCGAGATTAGTTTTATTTGTACAGACGCTGCCACCTTCTGGACGTTTTGTAAAATTTTTATTTTAAAACCAAACAGGAAAGCATAAACAGGTTTTCATCAATAAAGGTTGATCAACAAAGTTTATCTATAGGTTATCTTCAAAGTATATTTTCCGAAAAAGGATTAGTTATCAGATCCAGAACGCCTGCAGGACCTGTAATAATATTTACCTAACTAAACTTAGCGTTAAAAGACAGAAATTAGTGTTTCTTTTGTTGTAACGACGCTTCTTGGTGATAAATCTTACGATCGGCACCAGTAGCTGAAAACAAGTGTAGCAACAGTAAAATAAACTGAAGGTTTTCATGTGWGCAACCCACTCTAAAGGCATGATCCTTACAAATGTGGCATCATTTAAAAGAGAACTTTAAAAAGCCAAATCAACCAAACACAAACTTCCTTATAGGTGTGAATAGTTGTAGTTTTGGACCTGGTTTTGGTGGTGTCTGGTGGGAGGTTAACCCTCAAAGGTTAGTGATGTCAGCGGCTGTGATTTGTCACTATGTTGCCTGGGAACCAGCAGGTCCAACATGTCCTTTTATGGACGCAGCACAGCAGAGGACCTGGTAATCAGGCTGAAGAGACGATTCGTCACCTCCACGCGCTGGTTATTTTTGATCCGCAGGTAAAACCGAAGACGTGGGCGATTTAAAAGGACTACGGCCTGGTTGTGCGTGTGTGTGTGTGTGTGTGTGTGTGTGTGGGGGGGGGTCCTATTTGAATTAATTCAGTAAACAATCCAAAATCTAGCCAACAGGAAATCACTGCAGCTGTATAATCCTGTTCGGTGTGGCGATAAAAGATTAATGTTTTAAAAGCTAAAGGTGGCACAGACTGACCCACATCTTTGGACTTCCTTGTGTTCACATGCCCCCCCCCAGACCAGAACACACGTCATATGGGACTGGACAAATGTTGCAGAACACAAAATCTGGCAACTGAAGGGAAACCGTGAAGTTTTACACTAAATATCACCAGTTCTGCAGAGACTGCGGAGTGGATAAAAAAAGATAGAAAATGCTGAGCCAGAAATAAAGTAGCTATATGCTAAACTAAAAACAAACAAAGAAAAAAGGTAAAACCTAAAACTAGCTAAGCTGTAGCTAAAAGCTAAGGCCATCAAAACCGTATGCTAAACCTAAAACTGTAGACATAGGATACTGTAGATTAGAAAAGATATTCAACATCTATCAAGGTTAAAACTAAAGAAAATCTATAAAATCACACATTTATAACACCTAACTGTCCATTTTCTACCACTTATCCAGAGTCGGCTCACGGAGGCAACAGCTCCAGGAGAAAAACCTTTCCCCAGTGAGGATAGAGCTGAGTCTGCCCTGGGTTCAGAAAGAGGCTCAAACCACCTCAACGAACTCCCTTCCATGTGGAGGAGCAGAGGCTCTACTGAGCTTCCCCAGCAGGGGGCGGAGCCAGAGGGGTGCCGCCTCTGACACCTGATTGGCCACCCCAGGTGTCGCCCCCAAATAACTGACAAGTGGTGATCTTGTATTTTGTATTTACATTTAAGTTTTATTTTAATTATTCTGATACTACTGTATAAACATTTTAGCTGTGGCTGTTTAAAAATGGCTGAATTATAGCCCTTAGTTAGCCGTGGTGACCATCTTGAATTTACGATTAGCATTTAGACTTGGTAAAGATTATTTTCTGCTACTTCTACACTATTCTTAAGCTTTGTATGTCTAAATATGGCTGAATAATAAGTTGTGACTAGCATTTAGCTGTGTTTTTTTATTTTACGCTCTTAGTTATAATCACACAAAATTTGTGGTCTTGAATTTTTAATTCCAGAGTGCTTTTCCGTATTTGTTTGTGCCCCCCTACAAAAACCTTTGGCTACCCCTTGACAAAAAGTCTAGCTCCGTCCCTGTTCCCTATGAGCTCCTCAGAACTAGTTCTTTACCTCATGACCCTTAACCAATGAGTTAGAGAATAAGCACACGTTTGGACACATTTTGGTTTTTATCATTATAAATATAGTACATAATTTTATAATATTTTGCTTGTTTCATTGTATCAGTGACATTGAGCAATATTGAATCAAATTCAGCTGCTCTGTATTGAAAATCGTATCAAATCTCCATGTCCAATACTGTCTATATCAAGTCCGAGGACCTGTCCGGGACCACCAACACCTCCAGCCTGGTCAAGGCGGCTCACCAACGCCTCTTCTTCCTGAGGAGAAACACAACCTGTCCATTTTGTTGCCTTGGACTTGTGTTGCTGTTCCTTTTCACCACAGGTGACCAAAGCAACACCCTCATTACTCCTGCCATCACTCGTGAAAATAAGCTGCAAATGTTTTTGGATGTTAATGTGCTTATCGCGGCCTTCATTTCTGAAAAATCAACCGAATCAACCAGAAATCTAAAAATAAAACTTGTTTTTTTTTATTTGAAGCTGAATGCAGATGTGAGACAGGAAGAGAACCARTGTAAAGTCTGATGTTTTCCCCAGAAACTGTCAATTTCTGCAGTTTTTGGTTCTGACTCACGGCAGGAACTAAAATCCATGATGTGTTGACTTCGGCTGAATCATGAAAATCACCTTTCTTAATCTTTTTATTGAGTCTTGTTTTTTTTTTTTTTGAGTGGAAAACTCATTTACTCTGGGCGTTAAATGTTTTTATGTTTCTTCAAAAGACCCAAGAAATGTAAAAATTTGCTAAAATCTTAATTATTTCCCTGTATTAGTTTCTTTAAAACAAGATTAAAAGAAACATGACACCTCCCCCTTTTATTTATCTTCAAAGACTTTTTGTAATTTTAATAGTGTGTGTGTCTGAACAGTTTTCAGTCCTGCACTATTTATGGAAAAATGCTTTTTTGCTTTTATGGGTTAATTAAGKCATAAACAGGTGCCTAATTCAAGGGATGAACCAGAGTTGAGCCCACGAAGAAGATACTTTTTAAAACAATATTATCATGTTTTTAATTTGTTTATAAATTGTAGCAATTTTATGTTTTGTAAAGTCAGTTAGCTGTGGCGGCCATCTTGAAGGTGTTTGACTCAATCAGTTCCAGCAAATTTTAAATATATTTCATGTAAAAACATGATCTCTCAGCAGCGGTGATAACAGATCTTCTTTGCCCCCCTGGGAACCGGAGCTGCGGTGGGAAGCTCCATCACAGGGTTAAAGGTACAGCCGCGTGCGTCAGCTGAGACGTCGAGTGACGTCACGCGCTCGCGTTGAGGAGGAAGAGGAGGCTGGTCCTCGAGCCGCTGCAGCTCTCGATCGTTTCACATCTCCGATCATGTGCCTCGGGCGGACTCCGGCTCCTCCGCAGGAAGCCGCTCCACAGCCGCGCTGACAGCTCGTATCCTTCCGCCTCTCCTCCAGCGGACCCCCCGCGTCGGTGGAAGGCCCCCGGCGGGACTCGGGAGCGAGTCATGGAGGCCCCGGCGGAGCGGATGGAGGACCCCTCTCTGTCGGACGAGCTCGCGCCGGCGCCCACACTGAGCCCGGCCGTGCCCCCCTACGTCACCCTGAGCCTGACGGTGGTCTACACCGTCTTCTACTCGCTCCTCTTCAGCTTCGTCTACGTGCAGCTGTGGCTCGTGCTGCGGTACCGACACAAGCGGCTGAGCTACCAGACCGTGTTCCTGTTCCTGTGCCTGCTGTGGTCGGCGCTGCGCACCGTCCTCTTCTCCTTCTACTTCCGGAACTTTGTGACGGCGAACACCCTGGGACCCTTCCCCTTCTGGCTGCTCTACTGCTGCCCGGTCTGCCTGCAGTTCTTCACGCTCTGCCTCATGAACCTGTACTTCGCTCAGGTGAGTCTGCAGCCAGGTAACCCTGCTGCTGCGGTCAGAGGGGCGGGGCCAGATGTGTCCAGGTGTGGGAACGCTTGRCCACAACACAACAACAACCCTCATTTTATGTTACCTGAGACGTTTATGGGCTGCACGATGCATCCATTTTTTTGCTAGCCTTTTCTCTACTTTTAGCTTTTAGCTAGGGTTTTCTGTTTTCTGATTGAGATCGCAAAACTAAAGCTACTATATGCTAAAGTCAACACAACAGTAGCTAAAAGTGAAACCTAAAATTATAGCTAAATTCTAAAGCCACCAATAAAGTAGCTAAAAGCTACAAGCAGTAAAGCAGTAGCTTAAAGCTAATCTAAAATAAAACAAAAGTAAAACCTAAAGAAGTACTTAAATAGCTACAAGCTAAGGCCAACAAAACAGTAGCTAAACTGAAACAGTAGCTAAAAGCCAATATTAGCAAAACAGCTAAAGCTAAAGTTAGCAATCAGTTTAAAGCTAACTAAAAAAACAAAAAAGGGAAAACTTAAAATGAGCAAAACTGCAGCTAAAAGCTAAGGCCAACAAAACAGTAGCGAAACTGAAACTAGCTAAAAGCCAATATTAGCAAAACAGCTAAAAGCTAAAGTTAGCAATCAGTAGTTTAAAGCTAACTAAAAAACAAAAAAGTAAAACTTAAAATGAGCAAAACTGCAGCTAAAAGCTAAGGCCAACAAAACAGTAGCTAAACTGAAACTAGCTAAAAGCTAATATTAGCAAAACAGCTAAAAGCTAAAGTTAGCAATCAGTAGTTTAARGCTAACTAAAAAAAACAAAAAAGGAAAACTTAAAATGAGCAAAACTGCAGCTAAAAGCTAAGGCCAACAAAACAGTAGCTAAACTGAAACAGTAGCTAAAAGCCAATATCAGCAAAACAGCTAAAAGCTAAAGTTAGCAATCAGTAGTTTAAAGCTAACTTAAAAAAAACAAAAGGTGAAATCTATAATTAGCAAAACAGTAACTTAAGATAAACCAGCAAAACCAACTGCTAAAGCCACCAAGAGTAGCTAAAGTCAAGTAAAATAGTAACTAAAACAGTAGCAAAAACCTAATCTTAAACTACAAAAAGGTAAAACCTAAATTAGCAAAACAGTAGCTAAAACATAAAACTTGTAAAACTGTAGCTAAAGGCTAAAGCCATCACAACAAAAGCCAAAACCAGGTGAAACCTAATATTTCCAAAACATGAGCTGAAATTTGTGAACTAGTATTATTGTAGCTAAATGCAAAAGCTAGCAAAGCCAAAGCTTGAAGCAAAGACCAAAACAAAACAGTACCTAAAAGCTAAAGTAAGCAAAACGGTAAATAAAAACAAAATTGCTAAAAGCTAAAGTCAGATGTTAAAACTTAAAATAAGTCAAAAGTAGCTGAAGGTTCTGGTTGGGAAAGCTTGTATTTGGGCTACAGAAGTTTATAAAAACTGAAAACTGTTTTGAGCAACAAATAAAATGTCACATTTTAATCCCGGCATTGTTGTTTTTATTTTTTATTTTTATCTCTGCTGTCTCTCATTCAGCTCAGCTGTCATCTGTGATGTTGTGAATCAGTTCTTTAGCTGCTTATTCAGCCCACATATCAACCAAGGCCTTCTCAGCCCACAGCTGGAGGCTTATTTTTAGACCGATCCTCTTGTGATGAAGTGAATCACAGTTGACTGTGAGAACGCCAAGCTCTGTCATCTTCGGCTGCGCTTCCTGTTTTACATCGGCTGCTGATCCGATGATCCGGAATAGAGAAGTGAAAGTCGGGTGACACGTCTGCATGATGAACTGTCTTCTTGTCTTTTCTCAGGTCGTGTTTAAGGCCAAGTCCAAGTACGCTCCGGAGCTGCAGAGGTTCAGGTGAGGACGCTGAAGGAGTTCGCTTCAGGCTCAAAGTGCAACAAATGTTGCTGAAATTTGTTAATGAATTATTTAAGCTAAAACAAATAAAACACAGGCTACAACTCTCAAAACACTAAAGCTAAAAGGAGCAAAACTTTAATTTGAAAAACATTAGCTAAAATTATTAGGTAAATAAGTAAAATGAGCAAAACTGATTAGCACTAATAACAGAACAGAAGCTAAAATGAGCAAAAGCAATGGCTTAATAGCAAAATTGTTTCTAAAAGCTTAAAGGACGGAATAGATGCTGAAATTATTGAACAAGTTGCTAAAACTAGCTAAATTGCTAAAACTAATATTTGCAAGACTGATGTTTAAATTAGCAACACAGCAGAAAAGATGGTAGGTAGCAAACTGTAATTACAGCAGCAAAACTGTAGTTGAAAGAAGCAGTGCTAGCTAAAATGAGCAAAACAGGCAAAATTACCAAACAAGCTAAAACCAATTTCARCAAAACTGTTTAAATTAGCAAAACTATGGCTAATAAAGGCAAAATAGTAGCTACAATTATCAAAGCAGTAACTAAGAGCTAGAACTATCAAAACAGTAGCCACATTGATTGAACAAGTAGCTAAAATGAGCAAAAGAGTAGATAAAAGTAGCAAACATGCTAAAATCAACAGCGAACAGAATCTAAAACCAAGATTAGCAAAACAAATGTTTAAATGAGCAAAACTGGTGAGAAAAAGTATCAAAACAGTAGCTGAAAGTTAATAGAAGCACAACAGTAGCCAAAATGACTGAAGTAGCTAAAATTAGCAAACAGATTCTAAAACCAACATTAGCAAAATTAATGTTTAAATTAGCAAAACCGTAGCTTAAAAACTAAAATTGTAGCAAAAAGCTTAAAGTAGCTGAGACCTGAAACGATTAAAACTGTAGCTAAGAGCAGAAAAACAGTAGCTGATAGTTAATAGAAGCAAAACAGTAGCCAAAATGAGCAAAAGAGAGTCTTAAGTTAGCAAAACAGAAGCTAATATTAGCATAGCCTTACCTTAAATTTGCTGAACTTCAAGCTAAAAGGAGCAAAATGTTACCTAAAAAGAAAAATACAACCGATTTGGATCTATAAGTAGCTGAATAGTAGCCAAAGGCTAAAAGTAGCAAATCGTAAATAAAATCTAACATTTGCACGGGAGGGTTGCTGAAGCAGATTTTAAAGAATCTTTCATCGTTTATTTACACAACAGTGATTGTTGTGTTTTTATTCTTGGACTGCCAGGCTGCCGCTGTACCTCCTCTTCCTCTTCATCAGCCTGGTGTTCTTAGTGGTGAACTTGGCGTGCGCCCTGCTGGTGAGGATGTCCTCGGCTGAGGCGCGCACCGTCGTGCTCGTGAGAGTCGCCATCAACGACACGCTGTTCGTCCTGTGCGCCGTCTCGCTCTCTTTGTGTCTTTACAAGATCGCCAAGATGTCGCTGGCGAACATTTACCTGGAGTCCAAGGTGAGACGGAGCACAGGCGACGCCCCCTCGAGTCAAAGACCCACCTCTGCRTTTTATTAAAACGGTGTTTCTGATCGGAGCCGTTTCTACCTGGTTGTGGATGTTCTCCTGCAGGGAACCTCGGTGTGCCAGGTGACCGTTATCGGCGCCATCGTCATCCTCCTSTACGCCTCCAGGGCCTGCTACAACCTGGTGGTCCTGGGACTCTCCAACAAGACCATCAACTCCTTCGACTACGACTGGTACAACGTGTCGGACCAGGTGAGTCGACAGGATGTCTTGGCATAAACACCTGAATATTGCCGAGTTGACAGGTCTGAGAGTATTTGCTGGTATTTACACGTCAAGTACTCCTCTACTTGTACTTTTTGTGTCTCTCAGGCAGATTTACAGTCGACTCTCGGAGACGCCGGTTACGTCGTCTTTGGGGTGGTGCTGTTCGTGTGGGAGCTACTGCCCACCTCTCTGGTCGTTTACTTCTTCAGGGTGCGGAAGCCCAACCTGGACCGGGTGAGCCTTCAGAAACAGGAAGTGCTCAATCGAATGATTAAATCTGATTAACCAGCCAGCTGTTTGGTCTCGGTCCGTTTGCAGAGCGGCTCTGGGCTTCCTGGTCACGTCTTCTCCTCTCGAGCTTATTTCTTTGACAACCCGCGGCGCTACGACAGCGACGACGATTTGGCGTGGAGCGTCATGCCTCAGAACATACAGGCCAGGTAAAAAACACAATCTTTAGCTTTGTGAAGAAGATATCAGGAGAAAACAACACTAGCTAAAAGCTAAAAGAGAAGAGGCTAGTCAAAACTATCAGAAGGTTAGCTTAAAGTTAACATTAGCAAACACTTCCTTAAAGCTAAATATATCAACCAAAGGTTAGCCAGAGGCTAAAAAGAACTAAATGCTAGTTAAATGTAACAAAGGTTTTGCTAAAGGCTAAAAGCAGCAAAAGCTAGCCTGTAGCTAAACACTAGCTTATAGCTGAAAGTAGAAAAACGTTAAAACAAACTTAACTAAATGCTAGTTAAATGTTAAAATTATTAATAGCTAGTTAAATGTAGTAAATGTTTCACAAAACCTATTCTGTAGCTAAATGCTAGCTTATAGCTGAAAGTAGAAAAACATAAGCTAAAAACAAAAAGTAACAAAGTACTAGCTAAAACTTAAAGTAAAAATTAGAAGCAGATAAAAAGCTAGTTAAAATATCAAATGGTTAGCTCAAAGCTAAATGTTATCCAGAATTTAAAAACTAAATGCTAGTTAAATTGTTAAATAGCTAGTTACTCGTAGCAAAAGCCCAGCTAAAAACTAAAAGCAGCATTAGCTAGCCTGAAGATGAAAGTACCTAAAAGGCTAGTTAGAACTTAAAGTAGCTAAATRCTATCCTAAATCTGAAAGCAAAAAAGCATAAGTAGCAAAATAATAGGTAAAAATACAAGTACTAAAACACCAGCTAAAACTAGAAGTAGCGAAATGGCTAGTTGAGGTATCAGAAGGTTAGCTCAAAGCTAAAAGTAGCAAAACACTTGTTCATAGCTGAAGATATCAAATGGTTAAAGCTGTCAAAAGGTTAGCCAGAAGCTAAAAATAAAGGCTAGCTAAATGTCAAAAGTATTAGGAGCAAATATAATAATGCAGCAGAATTGAGCAAAAGTCTGGCTAAAAGTAGCTAAAGGTAAGGTTAAAGCTAAGAGTAGCCAAAAAGTAGCTAATAGCTAAAAGTAGAAAATGGTTTAACAAAACAAAACAGTTAAATTGATGGTATCGAAAAGCTGTTAGCAACAAGAGGCTAGCCAAAGCTAAAAGCTGAACGGTAGCTACATGCTAAAAGTAGCTAAAGGACAGAAAAATCGGCAAAATTGTAGCTACGTGTTTTAAGTTGAGTATTTCAAACATTAAAGTTACAAAAACCAAAAGCTGTGGCCCTCATCTCCTGAATGAGCTGAAGGACTTGATGTATAAACAGCTAAAACTAGCTGTATGCAGTATTCAGATCAGATACAGGATATAAACGCTGACTCATCATGATGATGATGATGGTTTCTCTCCAGTCTGGCTGCTGACAGTTACGAGTGGGGGAGCCAAAACAGCGGCATCGGCGCCTACATCGGAGACGGTTACAGCTTCCCCCCTCCCTCAGAAGAGCTCGGCCATTACTGAGCCTCCCGCCGAGCCGTGGGTTCACTTCGGTCTGTAGGTTTTCCTGCGCTCAGATCGTCTCCTGTGGATTTCATTTGATCTGTATATTTTTGCACATTTCATCACTGACCCGAGGCACAACTTCTTTAGGTTTCCTGTTACATTTAGAGAAAAAACAAACTTTTTAATTTTTACCCAGCGATGGGACATTTTTGCACACTTCATGTTTTCTGTGTAAATAACCTGCTCTTAGAGTTTATGTTGAATCCGTGTAATATATTGTACTGTAATACTACTTTAAGTACTGTGTTTATTTTCATACATGTGTAAAAAGATGTTTTAATTCATATTAAATTGTAAAACTATTAAAAAAAATCATTTTTAACACCCTTTTTGTCATCAGCTTTATGTTCACTRATTAAAAAAAATGAAAGGCAATACAATGTAATCTCAAGACTATCAAGGCATTCTGGTTGGTCTGTTATTTCAATGTTTTTTTTCTTTATTTTATTGAAAAGAGAAAAAAAAAAACTAACACTTATCTTCATTTCAGCAGCAGAAACACCAGCAGACATGTTTCATTTCTTCCCCGCACTTCTCTCAATTTTATTGAAGAGCTTTTCTTTTCTGGGAAACGGTTGCACTCTAAAAACGGTAAATACACGATGTACCCTGAAAGTTAAGACTTTGACCAAACAAACACACGTTATCTGAGAAACTGAACAGAGCGTCTTGAAATGGTTTGGAAAAACAAACGGGTGCAGGATATTTCATGAACCTGTGAAACTCGTTACACAACAGCTCGCTGGCAGCAGAATCCAAAAACAMTAAGATGTTTTTAATTACCCGGTAACAAAAAATACATCAATGTGACGTTTCATCAAATATTAGTTTATCTGATAATTTAATAGTACTGAAGTCTGTCAGTTTTCCTAAAGATTTTTATGATTTAGTGTGAATGGCTGCAAAAAATAATAAAAAATAAAAAATCCGATTCACAGATATGGTTGAAAAAGCTAAATTCAGACAAAAGTGTCTCGATTTGGGCGAGCTGTTAGAAAAACCAGAAGCTGGATCTGTAAGGTGCACAGGCAAATAAGACAAATCCATTTCCTTTAAGACTTTCTCACACAAACACACTTTGTAACTGGTTGAGATCTGAAAACAGAAACTTGTTTTCATTCATCCACAAATAAAAAAAAAGGCACAAATAAGAAGGTGCTGTGCACAAGTTTTCCTGCAGAGGGCGTCGGAGACTTGGTATAAAATCAAGCCACGGATGAAAAAGTTTTGATGTAAATCTCTGGGTAACAAAGCCACGGTTTTAATCAGCGTGTCAAAAAGTCCACAAAAAACACGTCGTGCTGCTAAATTAGAAACTCAAACCAAAGCGTTTCTGCCAGAGAGAAAGCAATTACCTTTTTTTTTTTTTTTTGGGATCATTTCTCAAATGATTTCCAACTGAAGCACGGAGAGCAGCTTATTTTACCAACCAGTTCCTACTGAGAAAAATATATATATTACACACATGCAGAACACTGTACCTTTAAGGAACTTACTGGAAATAAAATAAAAACCAGCACGATGAAGATGAAGTTCTGAGGTTTCAGCCGGAGCATTATTAATGTGAGGAAAAAAAAAAGATCCCTTTCAGTAAAATATGACGACATTCAACGTCCTCAAGATCGTCCAGAGTAACTGGAAGGATCTGAAACCAGTCTTTGTTTGGTAGCAAAACATAATACAGCCTGGTACGTACTGAGTACTTACCCACTTCATTATACCAGTATGTACCTGGTGTGTTCCAAATACCAGCAGCTGGTGTTTGTACAGGGTACTTACTGTGCATTTACCAATACGTACCTGGTCATTAATGGGTACTTACCTTAAGACATTTCATAATAAAGTGAAGTACCCAGTATGTACTGAGTACTTGCCAAGTAATTACCAGAAAAGTATTAGATACCTAACAGTAAAGTGGCAGACAGGTGTCTCTGGTAGTGCCATGTAAGTACCAGGTACATGTTGGGTAAACAGAAGGTACGTGTCCGGTAAGTACCAGGTACATACTCAGTAACTACTGCATAAACAGCTGGTATGTGCCTGGTAAGTACCAGATACTTACTGGGTAAACACCAGGTATATGCTAGGTACAAACCAGATACTTGCCTGATGAAACGCAGGTACATGCCAGGTAAGTACCAGGTACATGCCCATTGCCCAATAAATATCAAGTACTTGTCTGGTACATACCGAGTACTTATCAGATATTTACAGGGTACTTTACTGTGTCTTTACCTGATACGTACCTGGTCATTAATGGGTACTTATCTTAAAACATTTCATAATAAAGTGAAACACTYAGTATGTACCAAGTACTTGCCAAGTAATTACCAGGTAAATCTTAGATACATGACAGTAAAGTGGTAGGCAGGTGTCTCTGGTACTTAACGGGTAAATACCAGATAAGTGCCAAGTAAGTACCAGGTACCTGCACGGCGTATACCAGGTAAGTACCAGGCACATGCACAAGTAATTACTACATAACTTGCTGGTATGTGCCTGGTATATACCAGATACTTGCTTGATAAACAGCAGGTACATGCCAGGTAAGTACCAGGTAAATACCAGAACATGCCAAATAAGTACTTGCCTGGTATATACCAGGTATATGGATATAAGCCTAGTAAAAAGCAGGTACATTTCAGGAAAATWCCAGGCATATGTTGGGTAAATACTAGGTATGTGGCCAGTAAATACCAAATACTTGCCTGAAAATTAACAGGAAAGTACTTGATACATTCCTGGTAAAAGGCAGGTACATTCTGAGTTTACCAGGTAAATACCATGTACCTGCCTGGTAAGTACCGGCTGTTTTATGTATTACTACAGTTTAAATTGTCTTTCAGTCCAGAGTTGTGGTGTAAAATCACACCAACGCTCACTGTAGGTCACTTCCTTCAGATCAAGCACTTAATGGATGTTTTTTGTTTTTTTTAAAGCGCCGTCGTTCTACTAGCTGGGATCTGACGATTTGCCGAGTTCCACTTTGACTCCTTTCTCTCCGGCACCTGCACGCAAAGGAAACGGAGGTCATAAACAAACCGGACCTGGAACAATGGGAGTGCGTCGCTTCGCTGCAGTACTCACCCGTTAAGTACTTCTCTTTAGCTCGGGCTCGCTCGTCCGCGTCGAAGTACCACACGGTGATGGCATACCTGCGGAGACAGGAAACGAGCAGCAGTGAGACAAATGGCGTGGTCCGAGCACCTGCGGCKGACAGGCAACCCGACCTCGTAGCGTAGGCGGGCTGGACCTCGTGAGGATTCCTCCGGTCCGACCAGAACAGCAGCAGACGGTCAAATTTTGGCTCTATGTCGGCAAACTGGGCTTTGCCTTCTGGGAAGATCCGAAGGAGGCCGCCGTGTTCCTGAAAGAAGAGGAGCGCGAAGAGATGGTCAGGATGGACGGGGAGAGCAGGGAGAAATCATAAAACGAGTCGAGAACCAACAAGGTTTAGGTCAGAGTGCTGCCCGACCGCGAGAGGAGAGCTGAGGATAGGAAGCGGCGGYGGCAGACGGCCTTCCTGTGGAGGGATGGGAAGAATAACGGACAGGAAAACTGCAGCGGCTGGATAAAGGAGCTGGGGAGTGAAAAAAGCACCGAGTCTCACTTTGCAGATATGACAGGTCCGTCTCTTCACACGCAACATCGCCATTCTACCAAGGTTCACACCCTTACATGGAGAACTAATGAGATTTCCATTTTTACTGAGCTGAGGGGTTAAAGCAACACAATGAGGTCCAGGAAGACCAGCTGCGTGCAACGACTTTAAAGAACAAAGGTTTTAATTAAGGGTTTGGCAATCCTGAACTGAATGCACGTCGTCCACCTTTAAAACCAGATTTAGATTATTTAACGTTTGTAAAGATGCTTTTTTTTACAACCACAACTAATTTTAACAATATTTTACAAATATTTGCAAAATTGTTTTAGTTGAACCCGTTTCTGTGCTTCTTATGGCTGATTAATAGTTGGTTGGAGATGTGCACAAGTTTCACCCTAATCCAACCAGTGCTTCATGAGATWTTTCGCTAACAGACACACATAAACCTAACAGAGCCCCACTAGGGCTGGACGATATGGCCTAAAATCATAGGGGTGCAACGATACAGAAAATTCACGGTTCGGTTCGATACTTTAGTCTCACGGTTCGATATTTTTTTGATACAAAACAGATAAATGTCCATGCCCCTTTTAACTTGTAATTTATTTATATTAATTATGAACATTTGTTTAAACTCAAAAGTAGTTTTTAAATTAAATGTTGCTGAAACAGCAAGTTTCTCAGAGGATCTGCGCTCAAAAATGCAGCCTAGATGGAGTAGTCGAACACAGATCCACTGATCCTTCAACACAGAGCATCTTCAGAAGACAAGTTGATAAAATAAATTTTAAAAATCTGTATTGTTCCGTACAAGTGTGTACTGAACCTAAAGCACTGTTCGAGATGGGTACATGTATTGTTGCACCCCTATAAAATCAGTATCACGATATATTGACCAGTTCACCTCGATAATAAATGCACAATAACTCGTACCACCCCCCCCCCATCACAAGAACACAGTATAGTCTAGTCATGACACTACACACTGTGTCCATGTTCTGTCAAAGTACACAGTTTGTATTTTGAACAGCTTTTCTGTTTATATTTGGTATTTTAGTGTTTTTAATATATTTAAGACTTGAGTCAGATACAGTCATACAAATATTTAACCATCTCCATAACTTTTCAGTGCAAACAAACACATTATGTATTATAATTTTGTATTTAAAAAATATACCAAATACGTCTTTTTTACTGCAGAAAATAACTTAAATATTTCTTTCAAAAAGATATTACTTCGAGAGCTCATGTAATTATTTACTTTTAATGCCTCATATTTGATCATTTATTGAATCACAGAGCAGTTCAGTCAGTGTGCTTCTAAATATAAGCAAGATATATTGAAATTTGTAGATATTTATGATAAACTACAAAAATAATAGCATTTTTTTCCTTTTGGGGGGGTGGGGGGTGGGGGTGGGGTAACCTTAAGCTGAGACTTGTCTTTTCTGTAATTTGGGGCAAACAAATGTTCATCTGTTATTGTCATAAATGTCAGTGTCGGTTATTTTTCAGTTTATCACCCAGGCCTAATCTCCACCTACAACAAGTGCTTTATTAGACTGAGAAAATGACACTTATTACACCAAATACAGAGAAAAAAACTCACAGTATTTTCCTTCAACACTAAAACTGATTAATAATAACCAGGAAGGTAAAACTGTATTCTTTCAGTGGAGCTGTAAATAAAAGCTCACTGGTTTCAGTCGAGCCCTGATCTTCTGTAAACCTTCTTGTTTGATAAACAGTCCTGGTTTCTGCAGCGACGACACGTGACTTCCTGTTGTAAAAAGGTTCAACCGTCATGGGGGGTGAACAGATTTTATTCAACTGTTTAGAAAAAAACAAAACAAAAGAAAAACGATCCGTCTGGTGTTTCCACTTTCTGAGTATTGATCTTGTTATAAACGAACACAGTGAACTTTTCCCTGCAGTAAATCTTACAAAACATCAGTCTTGTTCTGGATTCAAACACTAACAGTGATTTATTCAAACTTAAGAGACTTAATTTTTTTCCCTCAACATCTGTTTATTTATTTATTTTTTTTTACTTTATTTGTGACCCATCACATCGAAATGAGGATTAAGTCAAATATGGTCAAAATGATCTAATATATTTTGATTCCTGGCTTTAAAAGCTATATTTTCATACTTAGATCATCCTGATATCATTACTAGATCCAGAGATATTATTTAATTTGTCTTGTTGGTTACAATAATACATAAATAACTGGTCTAAATTCAAATTTTATGTAATTTTAATGAGAATTTTTTTATGTCATTTTAAAAAAGCAACCTCATATAGTATTTAAATATTGAGATTTCCCAGCTGGAAAGAAACAAAAGCTTTGATAGCTCACAGGGAAAATCTCAACATTTTAAGGTGTTTTTCCTCAAAATCAGGTTTCTGGTTGCTAACGCTCAAAAAAAGTGCTTCATAAAAATTTTGGGGATAATATTTCAGACATTGAAATGATACATTAATAACACATTTATTATATTTTGACAAAATGTAATTTTTGCAAGCGTTTTAATCAAAACACTATATTTGCCTGTTTCTCCACATGCAACTTTTAGACTTAATCCTTGTTTCGATGTGATGGCTGCTTTTTTGTAATTTACTGGCTTTTGCTTTGTTATTTTTGATTCCACAACACTTTCATGAATGTGACCTGTGTTAAACAGGTTTTTATGCAAAAACTTTTGCATTTAGCCAGAAATTTAATTTGAGTAAGAAGTCCGTAATTTCTCAATCCTGCCTCCATTGAAGAAATGTTTAAGCGGTGTGAGACCAGATTCTTCAGACAAGTAGCTACAACTGCACGATTGAGCAAAGGCATCGTAATGTATGTGTGCATATTTAAGAGGCAAATTAAATCAGCGTGTTATCTCAGAACTAAACCACAACTCACTAGGGATCTCCCGATCAGATACTCAGTATCGGTGGCAGATACGGCCATTTTTTTGAAAATCGGGTAGAATCAGATTTAGTCATGTGATCGGGCCGATCCAGTTTTCAGCATCATCATGCTTTACAACTGCTGTTAAGAAGTCAAGACGCACAGAAGTATGCAACCATGTCCACAGTCTGGGAACACTTTTCAATGGAAAACAATGGGCCTCATGCAAGAACATGTTCGTATTCTTATCCTAAATTTCTCTTACTTTTGTTCGTACAAAGGGTTCGTACGAACATGCCACGTCAGATTCAACAAACTCTTCTATCYTCAGGAAAAGTGTGTAAATGAGCTGCGTAAATTCCACCTGTTCGTATC